TCTCCCAGCGATTACTCTACCCATTCAGTCCACCCCTCCCTCCCCCTTTCCTTCCTCCCCTATCCGCACAACCCCTCCCCCCAAACGCCTCCCCCCAAACCAACCCCCCCATCACAAAACTAACAACACACCCCCAGCAACCACCCCATCCACACCCTAACCTTCCTCCAAACCCCCCAACCCCCCAACCCCAACCCACGCCGCAAAGTCCCCGATTTCACCTACATCCACCTCCTCCTCCTCCGCCTCAAGGAGCAAGCCACGGACATCATGGTCACCATCAACATCCCGCACTACGCAGGCGAGTACGAGAAGCCAGAGCGCGAGGGCGCGGAGACGGCGTTGATGCGGGAGAGTCGGGTGGTGAGGGAGAGGGTGTTGGAGAGCTTTGAGATTAGGGAGTGGGGGCTTTTTGAGGGGTGATTATTCTTTTTTTTTTGGAGGGAGGGATTAAAGGGAGAGGGGAAGGTGGAAAGGTATGGTGTTGTGATTATTAAAGCCGGGGATTGTGAAGGGTTGGTGTGTTATCCCACATGCATGTACACGCCACGCCTATGAAAAGGTAAAAAAAGAGCAAGGGAATTAGAGGTCAGGCTTTTCGTCCATTTTGGACTCTGATCCTTCGTCAGCTTTTGACTCTGTTTTCTCGTCCTCTTTTGCTCCCACGACTGCATCTTCCTTTGCCACTGCCTCCTCGTCAATCTTCGCCTCGGCCGTCTCACCCTCGTTCGCTACCAAATCCGCCTCGCTCTTCGCCTCGGCACTCTTGGGTGTAGTATTCTCCTTTGCACCTTCGTCATCCGAAAACTCGACATCTGAGAGCTCGAGATCCGGATCAACCTCATCATCTGCAATTGGCTTCTTGGGTTTTGCTGCAGGCTGTGCAGGTTTTGCTACTGGTGCTACGGGCTGCGCTACCTTCTTGTCCTCGGTTGAATTCGCGGGCCCCTCGACATTGAGATTCCAGTCGATACCACCGTCCTTGCCGTAGCGCTGGACAAGCCACTCATTGCACTTTGTAAAGTGGTGGCAGTCAAACTGGTCCTGTTGTCAGCTATCAAACATGCAAAGCAGACGCGAGTGACGTACAAATCCCCTCGCAGCACTCAGCGGACTAGGATGCACACTCTTCAGAATCAAATGCTTGTCCACGGGTATGCCGGCCGTCCGCTTCTGCGCCGGCGTACCCCAGGCAAGAAATACGACACCGTTTGTTCGCACCCTGACGACGGTGTCAATGACCTTTTGGGTAAGTAGCTCCCACCCCTTTCCAGCGTGCGAGTTTGCCTCGCCCTTGCGAACTGTCAGACATGTGTTCAACAAGAGAACACCGCGCTCGGCCCATGGGGTCAGGAGTCCACTCTTGTTGGGAGGAGGTTGGTAGTCGGGATAGTCCTTCTTGAGCGCCTTGTATATGTTTTGGAGGGAAGGGGGCGCAGGTGTAGGTGGGCGAATGGAGAAGCAGAGACCGTGTGCTTGTCGGGGGCCGTGGTAGGGATCTTGGCCTGTAATAACGACTTTGACGGTGTTGAGGGGCGTGTGTCTGGACCTACCATCACACCATTAGCCTATGTCACATCGTCATCGTCATCAGGTAACTCCAGAGAGTCGCACCAAGAGTATACATCTTCCATGGGCGGATACACAATCTTCCCACTACTCAACTCCTTCTTCAGAAACCTCTTGAGTTCGAGAAACTGCGGATTGACGAGGACATCCTTGAGGTGCGGCAGCCAGCTCTCATGCAGCGTGTCGAGCTCTAATTGCAGCAATTCTTTCTGCTCGGCGTCGAGACCCGCGACCCACGCGTCCTTGTTGAATTTCGCAGCTGGGCCGGATTTGGCAGAGGCATTGGGCGAGGGTTTGGGCGCGCCGAAGAAGGCAGTGATGCTGCTGTTCACTTTGGGCTTCTTGGACGCGTCGATTGCGGCGGCCGCGGCTTTGCGCTTGACTGACATGTTTGTTTCGTTTCGAGGTTTACCCGGAAATTGCAATTGATCTGACACGTTTTCAGGATAGGGTTGCAAGATTGGTATAGAAGAGGATGACAATGACGACTCATTATTCACTGACATGGACGTTCACGGTTCACGGTTCACGGTCCACGGTTCACGCCCATTTGCCCAGCCCCGGGCCACCAACCGCGCTGTGACGTGACGTCTCAGCGTCGCGACGACATCTCGCTTTCAGCCGGGCAGGCCTCCTATTGGCTGCAACATCCCGCCCTCTCACGTGATAGCGCGCACCGCGTTCCACTCCACCCGGACGATCTACAATGACATCACCGGCCACCTTAAACACTTGACACAGTCAGCTGGGGCAGTATTTCCTTGCCAGGCACAGAACAAGGATGTCTTACCGGCTGGCACGGCAGAACGCAACGATGACCTATTTCCTAGAGCAAATGGGATGAGCATACTACTCTACAAAGACTGACCCTTGTTCTGCCTTGCACAAGTTGCCAGACGTGTAAAAGCTTGCATGCCGAGCTTGCGTGAAGCGATTGTGGCGTGGGTGTTGTTTGCCTAGTTTTGCTTGAGCAAACGAGGATGCGGGGACGCGGTTTTGGGTGAGAGGGGAGGGGTATAAACAAGGTGAGGGACGGATTCATCATACTTCTACTTCTACTTCTTCCTGATCAACTCAACTTCCATTGCCGTATCTTGCCCTCCTCCACCTACACTACACTTCAATCAAGCTCAAGCTCAAGCTCAACCCAACCCCTCGAACCAAATCTCCAACCATGACTTCCTCCAACCCCCACAACTTCGCCAACCTCCCCAAAGACGAACTCAAAGAAATCGCCGCAAAAGGTGGTCATGCCTCCCACGGCGGCCACGGCGGCCACAGCAACACTGTAGGTTCAATCTCCAAACATACTGGGCATCTCACCTGTGTACGTAAAATCATCTAATCATCTGTCTCAGTCGTCTACCGGCACCGCCGACCGCAATCCCGACGGCACCTTTAAAAAGGGCTCTGAGCTTGCCAGCGAACTCGGTGCTCAGGGCGGCCACGCCTCCCACGGCTCCTCCAACACTGACGGCTCCTCTGGCCAGCCTGGCCGCAATCCCGACGGCACCTTCACCAAGGGTTCCAATGTAGCCAAGGAACTAGGTTCCCAAGGCGGTCATTCAACGCACGATGGCCACGCAACCACAGGCGCAGAGGACAGCGGCCGCAACCCCGACGGCACATTCAAAAAGGGAAGTGAACTTGCCCATGAACTTGGTGTCAAGGGCGGCCATGCCTCCCACTAGGATTCTCGCAGCCTTCGTGCCTGCTAGGCGTACCGGTACCACGCTCAAAGCTGCTGGGGCGCTTTTTCTGGTTTACAAAGTAATGACGTGATGACCATGGTAATCCAAACATCATTATATAATCATCTACTTGATCCCCCTGGTACATGTCTTTCCCAATCCCCATCTCCACTCCCTTGCTCATACACACCCCAAATGTCCATCGCTCCCGATATATCGGAAGATGTTAAAATGGACACATCATTTTCGCAACATTACGTGGCTCGTCCACCAGCAACCCACATCCACATCCACATCCACCCAGATCTCAGATCCAACGACATGTTCTCCTCAACCCAAAACGCTTCAACACCGTCATACTGATGACACCCATTTTCAAGCGCTTTATCCTGCCAATACAAACCCCTTCCCAACAACCCTCGCTAACAAACTCCATTCGCGGGTGTGATACGCATACTCCAATCCCCCTCCTCTGTCACTATCCCCCCCAAAACATCTCCCTACCACGCCACGAAACCCCCCTCAGCATCTTCCACATCACCACATCCCCCTTTCCCTCCCTACCACCTACCACCTACAGCACCATCCGGCACGCCAAGAACCCGCTGAATCTGTTGGTGTGGGCATGGACACGCGACACGAACGTAGAGAGCCGCGCTGCCTGGGTCTCGCTGTGTGTGGTTACAGGATCTGGTTGTAGTACTTTAGACCTTGTTTGCACTTGAAAGACTCTGTCGGTATGGAATACGGTGTTTTCACAATAAATAGAGAGAATACCAATATGACAGTTTCGGTCATGAATCCAGTATGTACACACATCGTACTGTAGGATCCCGCAAACCGAAATGTCGAAGCACTAACATGTTTCATGCTGGAAATCCCCTCTTAGATGACGCAATACACATTCTCAAACCCCCCCTTCCATCCCAGACTCAAAAGACACAAATCACAGTCACAATCAATTTCACACACCCTTCTTCCCCTCTCCCCGCCCCCGCCCCTCCCACTCCCCAACCAAGCCCCCATAATCACACGTCCGATAACTCCCAACCCACTCCCCAAGCCCCAACCACCCACCCCTCCTCTTCCACTCGAGCTCCAAATCCCGCAACAAGACATCAAAATAAGGCAGGGTATCAAACACCAAATCCGGCATCATGGCGCCTATCCCCGTCGGGCCGCTGACGACGCAGTACTGCGTGTGCCGGTACGTTTCTGCGCGGATCTGGTCGTGCGTTGCGATGGGAAGGCGCAGAGTGCCGTCGAGATAGGCGGTGATCCAGAGGGATTGGATGTATGCGCAGGGAAAGTTTTGAATGGCGTGGAGGGCGCCTGCGAAGGCGATGTTACGGTCGTGCAGGGTGTGTGGGGGTACGATGAAGCGGTGGAGGCGGTATGGTTGGAGGTTTGGGTTGAGATTCTGGGTGTAGCGGAGAGAAGGGTTGGGGTGGTGTAGGCGGCTTGTGTCGCGGGTTTTAAGATATGGGTATTGGGTGAATAGGGAGGTCTCGGAGTCTTGGATCAAGGCTTGGTCTGAGGGGGTGGGATGGCGGGAGGGGAGGCCGAGTTGGGATGCTAGATTTGAGGGGTGAAAGGTAATGGCGTTGTTCATGTGCCAGCCTGTTGCGCAGACTACTGCGTCGGCCTGTAGTGTGTCTCCGCTCTTGAGGCGGATCTCGCGATCTTTACCAAAGCTCCTGATTTCGTCGAATAGAACTTTGATACGTCCCTCGCGCACGAGGTCGAAGAAGTTTGTGGGGTAGTTGTGAATACCGAGACAGTTGCCGATATCGAAGCCACCTCTCCAGGGTCTCAATTTCTTTGTCTCGTCATGCCTATCGAGCTTGTTGAGCGAAATGATGTCTTTACCTAGGAAATTCCAAAAAGTGGCTGTGACTTTGCGACCGAGCCAGGTACCTTGTAAGAATGAGCGAAGCCATCCTTCAATGCCAGACGTTTCCGCCCACGGACAGGGCGACATGAAGCCAATAACCCGTGTGAAGACTAGCTTTTCGATCCAGATAGAAAAGGGAGTGACGTGCGATGGAGTCATCCAGTTTGGTCCGTTGCCAGAGGAGCGTATAAGCATCGTAACGGTGGAGTCTTGTTGTGTAGCGCAAGCATAAGAGACGTCCCAGGCTGACTTGCCACTTCCTACAACAACGGTGTGCGTGCTGGATCTAGCAATTTGCTCATAGTGAATTGGAAAGTCCTTCGAATGGACGACCAGCGACTTGAAGTCGGGCGATCTTGGAAACTGCGGCATGTGCGGCTTATTGGTATTGCCAGCCGCCACGATGAGCTTCTTCGTTCGTATAAAATGCATTTGCTCAGCTTTCAGGTGCATGGTACATTGCAGCACCCATTCCTCTCTTGTCTTTTCGATGACATCGACCTTGGTATTCAATCGCACAAACTTGTCCACTCCACTCCATTCTGCAAGCGCCTCAATGTACTCCAGCATAATGTTAGCAGGCACATGATCCCCTTTCTTGAGGCCGAATCTGTCTTGGTCCATAGGAAAGTCCGGATGTTCGTACATTGACCACAGATTGTTCGTCTTGAGACCTGGGAAGATGCGATGTGATGCCCATGGTCCACCAACTCCTGGTGCAGAATCAACAATGAGTATAGAAGATGATGGATGGAGACGATGATATGTGGATGCGCTTGTCAGGCCATAAATGCCTGCGCCTATGATCACCAAGTCTACTTGTTCCACCATTTTTGCGGTAAGGAGGTTCTGGGTCGACTAAACTATAACGCATGAGCAATGCTGAAGGTGAGATGTGCAGGACGATCTTGCAGTGAAAGAGAAGGCTAAAGGCGGGTTATCATCGGTATGGCACATGCATGTGAGAGCACTGGGATGTGAGTTCTGCTGCCGGTGATTAAAATGTCTCCTAAGAGTAAGCATTTTACTCTACAGGCAAAAGTGGAAGCTTATAGGCCGACTGCAGAAGCAAACTGACTTGCGCGTTGGCTACAGGTGTGATGAAGGGAGTGATGTTATGCAACGTAATTTGGACCAGTGACGATCGCACATCGTTGATTGGAAGATTCGAAGACTTGTCTCTGAAAGCCATGCCAGAACATGTACAGCGCATATCTTGGACAGTCAATGAAGACAAGGCCAGCCGTTCAGGGAATAACCCCACACAAGTGATCGCTGGGCCTGCTAAGCATGACCGTTGCTAGCCTGTGTGAGGTTGGCAGGAGTTTGGTTGATTCATGGATTAGAGTTTTGCCTTGACCGAACCGACACCTGCCTTGACTTGCACCGATCCTGCAGAGTCGGTGTCCACCATGACAACCACGCCCTCTGCGGAGGCGTTGTCTGCCTTCAAGACAATTTCCTGGCAGTCTTCAATACCAACGTCGTTTGCATATTGTACGACAACAAAATCAATTGGTCGATCCCCTATAACAATCATGGGAGCATGCCAAGTGCCTGGCCCGTACGTGACGGCCTGAGTTCCGCTCGCTACGAATGCGCGTAGATTTTTCAAGTCTGGTAGGCCTGGGCCTTTTGGACGTGCTGAGGGGTGTAGCCTTGAGAATTGGCTAGGCGAGGGATCAACGGTCACAGAGTAAGGCCGTGGTCTGGCCCTGGCAAAGATGTCTTTGATGCTCTTGCTTCTTTGTAGCTTGGGGGTAGGGTATGGTGGTGGTCGCCCGGTATGTCTTTTGGATGCACTGGCAGGCAACGTTGGTGCCACAATAACCAGGTATTGGGTGTGCTTTTCATGCTGCGAAAGGCCCATGGGGATGAATGTTTGTGTGGTAAATGGATGTCTTTCCAGTATGGTGATGTCCAACAGTTGCTTGTGGAAGTTTCCGTTGCCGTCGTCTTCGTCGTCGAAGTCGAGATCGCCCCAACTGCTGGGCATGCTCATACTCGGCTCATGTGGTCGCAGACTGCGCGGCGAACAGACAAACATGTTCATGACTGGTCTGGCAGGTTTCTTACTCGGCGCAAGACTGTAGAGATTTGACAAGTGGGCGACATGGAGATACTTTGTCGCAGAACCCTGGTTTGTGTGCACTGCATCTGGAGGTGGTATGCGGTGGGGAATGGGTAGTTTGGAGGATGGAGAGGTAGCAGGGTTCTCAATCACAGTACCGAATTGATTGAAGGCGGTGGGAGTGAGGAGCTCAATTGGGATGCGAATGGACGGATTAGGCATCGAGGTCGGCATCTTGGTGGCAGGACAAACTCGTACTGTGGAGTCCTGCGTACCGGTACTGGCTTGCACGAGGGCGATGTCCGACAAGCTAATCCTCGTATAGCG